CTCTTGTTGGTGTCTCTGGACGTAGACCCGGTCTCGGAGTTGGAACTTGTGTGGCTGGGGAGAAGGTCCTGTCTCATGCAGTGCTCTGAGTCGCGGCCACACGTCTTGATTGTAGCGCCCACAAGAGCAACAGTTCTGAATCATCAAAGTCCACAATTAGATGACTAGATAGGCTGGGAATAACAGGTGAGGGCAAGCCCAAGCAAGAGGGGTAGCTCTTAATTTATAGGGAGAATTGCGAACCCTATATAAGGCATAAGGAAGGAGGGCCACCCAGTCTCCGCCAGTCTCCATGGTCAATTTGGTTAAGGTCTCCTTTAAGATTCGATTCATCCTGTCTACCTGTCCTGAACTCTGGGGGCGATAAGCACAATGTAATTTCCAATCCGCCCCGAGGATGGAAGCCAAACCCTGACTCACCTTGGATAGGAAGGCAGGCCCATTGTCTGATCCTATCATCGTGGGGAAACAGTATAGGGGCAGAATATCCTCTTTGCTTTAACTTCTTTGCTACCACTTGAGCCGTTTCCTTTTTTGTGGGGAAAGCTTCTACCCATCCTGAGAAGGTATCTACAAACCCCAATAGGTTTATACCCATACTTTCCAGGTTTGACTTCAGTAAAATCTACCTCCCAGTATGCTCCCAGCCTATCCCCCCTTTCTCTATAACTACTGCGGCCTGATTCTCGGGGGCACCTGGGTCCTGGGGGTGTACTATCTAAAAGCTTCCATCAATCTTTCTAGGAAACTAGAGGGGGATTCATTCCTCTCCTGCATTATTGAATATACTTTGGCCAAATTAGTGGGCTTGCAAGCAGCCGCCTGGAGACCCGCCATTAGAGTCTGGTGATAGACCTGTAGCCTCTCCCTACCTGCAGCCGTATTGTAATCCCAATCATCTGGAGGGGGCCTGGTCAAGGGGATGGAAGCATTCATTAGATCCGGATTGATGGTGGGCTGCCCCTTATCCCCCGGGACTAGTTTCTGGGCCTCTGCCTGGAGCCTCTCTCTTTCTTCAATGGTGAACAGGATCCGGAGCCACTGCTGGCGGTCATCCCAGGTGGGCTGATGAGTAAACATTACACTGTCTAAAAGAGTGATCAGATCCTTAGGGTTATCTGAAATGTTCGCATTTGGGGACTTCCAATTGTATAAATCACTGGTTGGGAAGGGCCAATATTGCAGTCTGGGGTTCCCCGTGTCATCGGGTGGTCCGACCTCCCGAAGCCGCAAGGCCATGGTCGAGTCCACAGGGCGCGGACTGGCTGCCGAAGGGTGCGGCGCCGCGTCCTCCCCGCAGGGCCCTCTAAGTCTTCCCCTCTGTCTTCTCCCCCAGCTGCCGCTGCTCCGGCTTCTCCCGGGGGCCAAAGGCGCTGCCAGAGGTCGTGGGACAGGGTAAGGTGGGGGCGGAGTATCGAGGAGGAGATTCGGATCACCCTCCGCCAGAACAGGAGGGGGCGCTGATGGAATGGGCGCCTGTGGGCCTTCTAGGGCCAATATGGTGGATGCACCAGGAGTGGGGAACGGGTAGGTGGATACCCACCTCGGGGGTCTTCTACCAGATCTTCCCATACCAGGATAGAAGGAATCTGATCCGGGTGTCCCCGTTTTCCAGACAAGAATATTTTGTGCTTCTCCTTCTGAATAACAGGTTAAAGGAGCCCTCTGGGGCCAGCCCACCTCGAAGGCCAGCCACTCTGAACTACAAAGAGTGACTCACTTGCCTTTTTTGATTTCAAGACTTAAATTGTGGGCCCTGTCTTTAGCATCCTTGAAATGGTTAGTCAGGAGAGTCCTTGGACTGCTCTGGTCCTGTCCCATTGTGGAGTGGGAAAGGACCCAACCCAAGGAGGAAACTACTGTAAGGATGAGGCACCCGAGAAGGAATTGATAAAGTCGGCGCCTGCGCGGGTTGGTGACTCAGGCGCACAAAAAGATGTCTTCTGGGGAATAAGTCGAAATTCCAAAAGGATTAAAATGGGAGAGCGGCTGGGGTGAAAGAAGCCGCTGGCCGCCCGTTTTGGGGGGCTCCAGGATGCTCTCTGATCTGAAAATGAAAGTGTTAGGTTTTTAAAAGGAGGTAGCCGAGTAAGAACAGCACCAGCACGCACGTGGTATTCAGGTAAGGGGTAGGTTTATTCAGTAGACCTGCTGGGACCAGGCAAGGTTGGCACTCCACGTGGCTGGGAAAGAGAGAGGAAAGAGCTAGAGCAGAGAGAGAGCAGACAGAGCTAGAAAAGAAGAGCAAGAGCAAGAGCTAGAAACGAACAGAGAGAGAAAAAAAGAGAGAGTCTGGGCCTGGGCTAGGCCTTATGTAGGGTATGGGCGGAGAAAGGTGTGGCCACATCAAATTCAGATGTGACCTCAGCGGATGCAGATGTGACCTCTTCCAGGTGTTCCAGTTGCCTAGGTAACGCAGGTACTGGGTGGAGACTTTGCTGCGAGGAGGGTGGAGTCTGCTCACCATCCAGGAGCGGACCTTACATTCCAGCCTTTTAATAATCATGAAATAGGGCGCGGATTCTCTCTGGCTACTTCCTGCTGACAAGGGGCGTCGACAATGGGGGTAAAAGGCTGGAATTTGGTCCCCTCCCAGAGAAGGCAGTGAGCAGCAGCTGTCCCTTGGTGGCGTGAGTCCTTAGGTGAAGTCTGGAGAAGTCTCATGAGCATTGAGGGGCTGGAAAAAAAAATACTAAACAGCAAATAAATGGCAAGAGGAAGGACTTGGGGCTGAAAATGTTGGTAGAAATGTCCCTAGATACTTCTGACATCTGGCGACTAGGTAGAGAAGTCAGGGGACAAAGGCAAGAATATAAATTCCTGTTCAGTTAATAGCTACACAGGTATAGACATTGGCTGGGTAGGCTTCTTACTTCCACTGACCTCCCGGCTCTGGTTAATTTTGAAAGGGCAGGCACAAAGTAGCTGATGTGACATTATCTCCTCTTACTCTTCTCCATGTTCCCTTGTTCCCCAGACTGGCTGAGTCTAGGTGCTCATTGCTGGGATGGCTTGTCCCAGTTGGTATTCAAGATTTGAACTCAAGGCCTAGGTACTGTCCCTGAGCACTTCTGCTCAAGGCTAGCACTGAACCACTTTGAGTTATAGTACCACTAATATTCAAGGAGGTTTGAACTCAAGGCCTGGGCACTGTCCCTGAGCACTTCTGCTCAAGGCTAGCACTGAACCACTTTGAGTTATAGTACCACTTGCAGAGTTCAGCTGGGAGGCGGAGTCTTAGAGATTTTTTAGCCCGAGCTGGCTTTGAACTGAAATCTTTGCCACAAAAGCCCTTTATTATTTCCAATTAAGGCAACAAGGAGATCAAGTAGAATAAGTAGAGCTTACCTGGTTCTTATCAAGAATTGCCAACAAATATTCTGAAATGATGAAACTCATTAGATGTGATGAGAATTTTAGCACAGATATACCCAGTATTTTAGAACCACATAGTCAGTAGTAGAATACACAACACAAAACAAAAAAGGCAAAACTTAAAACCTAAAATTTCGACAACGTTTAGACATCTTTGCTAACAAAGCATTTCAGCTGGTTGGGCCTCTGTTACCAGGGCCTGTGAAAAGAGCAACTTGTTAGCAAGGCACCTTAGAATAGATGGAGTAGTAAACTTAGTGGAAGGTTAAGGGCCAGATGGGGCCAAACCCTTAACCCACCACGTGGCCAAGATGGCGAATTCAAGATGGCGAATTTCTGAAAAAATGCAAAGAAAGCCTGAATAGATTAAGCCTACATTGGCTAGCCTTTGAGAGGGAACCTAGAGGGCGGTCCCTGGGACCCAGCCTGCGTCGCACTCTTCAAGGCACAAGCCAAAAAGTTGTAGAAAAAAAGTGTAGAAAGTTGCACATGAATGGCAGAGAGAGAGCAAAGAGAGCCTGAAATTAAACAAACTTCTGACCATTTACCATTGCAGTAGCAAAAACTGTACTTCTGAGAATGGCATAAAAATGAGGCTCTCTGGCTTTCCAGGGAGCGCAGGAGACATTTAAAAGGGGTTTCACGGCTCAGGCGTGATTCGTAGCACCCCATTAAATGAGTAGAGTCAGTCTGGTGAGTGAAGGAGAGCTGACCAGGCAGAAGCGGCGTCCCGACTTCCCCCAGAGCCCTCTAGAGAGAAATGGCCAAGCCCCCAAAGCCAAGCGTCCTCGGCTTCAGAGGTGACCGGCCTTTCAGCTAAAGGCCGTAGGAGCTCTCTGGCGTGGCGCCACGTCTGGACAGAGACTGAGTAACAGAGAGCCGTAGAGTAGTTTCACTCACCAGAGTAGAGAAGTGGTGTGGACGTGGATGTGAAGGCAGCAATGGTATCGATGCGCTGATTCCGCCGCAGACAGACTGGTTCGCAAAAGGCCGTCAGAACTGTGGGTATTCCTCAGAGCAAAAAGGGAAGAACAAAAAAAGAAAAAAGAGGAAAAAAAAAGAGAAATCCCAGCTTTCCTGACTATAAGCCTTTATCCGAGTCACGGCACCATTTATGTTAGGTTTTTAAAAGGAGGTAGCCGAGTAAGAACAGCACCAGCACGCACGTGGTATTCAGGTAAGGGGTAGGTTTATTCAGTAGACCTGCTGGGACCAGGCAAGGTTGGCACTCCACGTGGCTGGGAAAGAGAGAGGAAAGAGCTAGAGCAGAGAGAGAGCAGACAGAGCTAGAAAAGAAGAGCAAGAGCAAGAGCTAGAAACGAACAGAGAGAGAAAAAAAGAGAGAGTCTGGGCCTGGGCTAGGCCTTATGTAGGGTATGGGCGGAGAAAGGTGTGGCCACATCAAGTTAAGATGTGACCTCAGCGGATGCGGATGTGACCTCTTCCAGGTATCCCAGTTGCCTAGGTAACGCAGGTACTGGGTGAGGTCTGTTCGCCGTCCAGGAATGGACCTTACATTCCAGCCTTTTGATAATTATGAAAAAGGGCGAAGACTCTCTCTGGCTACTTCCTGCTGGCAAAGGGCGTCGTAGGGGTAAAAGGCTGGGATGTGGTCCATGCTGGGAGAAGGCAGCAGGCTGCAGCTGTCACTTGGGTGTTGAGTCCTTCGATGAAGTCTGGAGGAGGCAAGATTGTGAAGAATGCATCCTTGAGGTCCAGCACTGAGAAGTGGGTGGTACCAGGAGGTATCTGTGAAAGGAGGGTATATGGGTTAGGCACAACAGGATGAATGGGAAGGACTGCAGCATTAATAGTGCGCAGGTCCTGGACTAGGCGGTAGGTCCCATCAGGTTTAACTACTGGCAGGATAGGGGTGTTAAAGGGGGAGTTAGTGGGTCTGAGAAGTCCTTGTTTAATAAGGCGAAGGATGATGGGTTTTAAACCTTGCCTGTGCCTAAGGGAAATGGGGTATTGGGAAGTACCAGGAAAATGGGTAGGGTTTTTAAGTTTAATCAGGACAGGAGTATGGTGTCTAGCCATAGTAGGAGTGGAAGTATCCCAGATAAGAGGGTTGACAAGATCTGGAGGTAAAGGGAAAGGATCTAGTTGGGAAGTTACAGGTGGAGGTTCATCTAAAGATAAAAGTAGAACAGGTGTAGGCTGTTTGGGGATATGGAATGAAAGGGAGACTTGAAATTTAGAGAGCAAGTCCCTTCCTAGGAGTGGGGTAGGACAGTGAGGTAGGATTAGGAAGGAGTGTGAAAAGGGAAAGTCTTCTATTTTACATGATACTGGTCCTGTAGTTGGGGGACAGGTAGGTAGGCCATCTACACCCACCACCGAGATCTGGGAGGGAAAAGTCTTGCCTGTATATTGACATAGCACCGAGTAAGTCGCTCCCGTATCCAAGAGAAAAGATATTAACTTACCGGCTACATAGAAACACACCCTGGGCTCCGTCATTGTGATGGTCTGGTTGTTGGGAGCAGGTGGCCCTGGGCACCTTCATTCTGTAGCCAAGCAGAAAATCTCCGACCTGTCTGGCTCCGCCTGCCTGGGTGGGCGGGGTGGGGGAGGGGCTGGCCTACCTTGTGGAGGTGAGGAGGGGCAATCGACTCCCCAATGTCCTTGCTGCCCACACCTTGGGCAGGGTCCAGGTGGAGGTCGTGGTGAGGGACAGAATTTCGCCCAGTGGCCCTCTTGCCCACACTTGAAGCATGCTCCAGGTGGTGTATGTTGGGTGCCTCTCCTCAGAGGAGGCCGGATGGCAGCAGCCAGGATTTGATAGTTCTCCCTCTCACGGGCAGTCTTATCGGCAATCTCCTGTTCCTCTCGATTATTGAAAACTTTAAATGCCATACTCACCAGATCTCGTTGAGGGGTCTGAGGACCGTTCTCAGCCTTTTTTAACTTTTTCCTAATATCAGGGGCTGATTGGGCAATAAAATGCGTATTGAGAACCACCTTAGCCTCTGGTGACTCTGGGTCCAGCCTTGTATAGCGCTGGAGCGCTACTGTAAGGCGCTCAAGAAATTCTGCCGGGTTTTCATTGGGCCTTTGAGTAATGTGGTTTAATTTGTCATAATTAACAGGGAGATAGGCTGCCTTTTGAAGGCCAGCCACTAAGCAAGTTATCATCCTATTTCTGCTTTCCCGCCCAGGAGCATTATGTTGATAATTCCAATTGGGCTCTTCCCTAGGCACAGCTGTTGCTCCCACTGGAAAGTTAATATCTAGGCGGTGAGCTTCATCGGCATGTGCCTGGGCTGCAGTCCACACCCTTTCTTTTTCCTCAGCAGTAAGGGTAGAGGATAGTATTAGATATATGTCCTGCCAAGTAAGGTCATAGGTCTGAGCCAGGTTCTTAAACTGCTTAACATAATTATTAGAATCTTGGGCATAAGATCCCAGCCTCTTCTCAATCTGAGCAATATCAAACATTGAGAATGGCGCATGCACCCTAATTACACCTTCAGCCCCTGCCACCTCTCGCAAAGGGCACATGGGGTCTGGTGGAGGTTGTGTGCCACCAGTGCGAGACCGGGTGTGAGCTGCAGGGGGGGAAGAGAGAGAGGGTGAAGGAGAGGAGAGTGAAGAAGGTGGGGAAGGCACCAGATGCTCAGCAGGAAGAGGGGCAGAGTCAAAAAGAGGGTCAGCCACATCAGGCTCCGGATGGGGCCCTGCGCTATCAGAGCTGGGTTCTCCACGTGCCAGGAGGAGTGGAAAGGCCGGGCATGATTGGCATAGGGCAGGGTTGTCCCGGAGAGCAAAGAATGGCTGAATATGAATGACCTCAGACCATTTACCATTACGACGGCAAAAATCGTCTAAATCTCTGAGAATGACGTAGTCAAAAGTCCCGTCTTTGGGCCATCGAGAACGATTATCCAGTTGGTACTGTGGCCAAACTTGAGTGCAATAATAAATCAGTTGTTTCTTGTTGATGCAGTCAATAGACAAGACATCCAGGGAACGCAGGAGGCATTTCAATGGAGTTTCCTCCTTTGGGCGTGACTTACAACAACCCATTGGAAATGTAAAAGAGAAAAACTTAAGAGGAAAATTTAGTGAGTGAAGGAGGGCTTACTGAATGGAAGCGGTGTCCCAACTTACCACCGAGCCCTCTAGAGAGAAGTGACGAGCAACCAGAGTCAAGTAAAGGCCTAGTAGGTTCTCCGGCGTGGTATCTGGAAAGAGACTGAACGACAGAGAACCCTTAGAGAGTAGGTCACTCACCAAAATGTAGAAGTGTGGAGGAAGATGCAGAGGCCAGCAATAGAATTGATGCACTGTGTCCGCAGCAGATAGACGGGTTCATAAAAGGCCGTCAGAACTGTGGGTATTCCTCAGAGCAAAAAGGGGAAAACAAACAAAAAACGAAAAAAAGAAAAGAAAAGGAAAAAAAACAGAGGGGAATCCAGCTATCCTGACTTTAAGCCCTTTATCCGAGTCACGGCACCATTTATGTTAGGTTTTTAAAAAGAGGTAGCCGAGTAAGAACAGCACCAGCACGCACGTGGTATTCAGGTAAGGGGTAGGTTTATTCAGTAGACCTGCTGGGACCAGGCAAGGTTGGCACTCCACGTGGCTGGGAAAGAGAGAGGAAAGAGCTAGAGCAGAGAGAGAGCAGACAGAGCTAGAAAAGAAGAGCAAGAGCAAGAGCTAGAAACGAACAGAGAGAGAAAAAAAGAGAGAGTCTGGGCCTGGGCTAGGCCTTATGTAGGGTATGGGCGGAGAAAGGTGTGGCCACATCAAGTTAAGATGTGACCTCAGCGGATGCGGATGTGACCTCTTCCAGGTATCCCAGTTGCCTAGGTAACGCAGGTACTGGGTGAGGTCTGTTCGCCGTCCAGGAATGGACCTTACAGAAAGATGAACAAGGAAAAGAGGCGCCACATCAGAACGACAAACGCAGACGAGACACAGACAGCATGCGCGCCAGGACTACCTAAGGGTCGGTGCCCAAAGGCAAATCTGGAGTCCACCCTCAATCCCGGGGAGGCCCGGGGTCCCCACCCGGGAGGTGGCTTCCCCTCGGGGGTCCAGGGAACGTCTTCCACCGGCCGCTTGCGACCATAGCACGACCGCCAAGGTTTCTTGCCAGTCACAAAACCCTACTTGCCAGTCAGACACGAGACACTCAGCCTGAAGCAGCTGCACCCCTACTTACCAGCAGCTAGATGACTTGCTGATCAGGCGTCTGGGTGGGCTTGGGGCAGGGGCATCCCCAACAGCTCCCAGATGAAGTACCCAGTTTCGGATGCCCCCTCACAGACCACCAGAGACCACGATCGATGCAAACAGCAAAGAGACGTTTATTGCAAGCTTGAGCTTGGTCCTCTGCGCACTGTAACCCGTGACTCTAAGAGGCCCGAGCACAAAATCAGCACAGCTTGTATAGTATTGAACAAACAAGTTTAGGGGGTTGCCACACAAGCCGTTACGTGATTGGTTGACCTTTACAGAAAAATATTTGTTCTCTTTTTATGGGTCCTTGTTCTTGAGGCACACCTGGGCCAACAGTATGCAGGGCAAGTTTCGCCCTGGGCTCTAAAGAATGGGTTGGGTGGAACATTATGTGGTTTTTCTAGGAACTGAAATTCTTAGCCCTAGGTCACTCGGGGGCAATCATCTGCCTTCCTGTAATGGCGGCTGTCCGGATCCTTACCGCTTTCATTAGGAGCTTTAAAAATGCTAAAACTTCATACTAATGGAAGGAATTCTTGTAAACTTGTCAAAGATATACAGAGATATGAACCAAGCCACACTAATGCTTTTCTCATACAGGTCTGTGTAGTTAGAATTAAAACTTTTCCTTTTCCTCTACAAATCATAGGCTGAATTAAAGCAGTTTGGCTATCACAGAAAAGTAACACAAATGCATGGTTCATTCTCTAACTAGGAAAGCAGCCTTCTCCAGCCTCCTCCTCGGCCCCTGCCTGCCCTTGCCCACATAGCTAATCCAGGAACGATATCCCTCAAGGTTTCAGGCTTGAAAACTTTTGTCAGAGACCTATAAGCACAGATCAGGGTCATGCCATTCAAATCTGAAACAGTATTCCATCCCAGTGTCCCTCTCCAAAGCTTTCAAACAATCAGTGTTTCCTTTTATTTAAAAACAAGAGGAAGAAAAATCCAACTAACTTGTTGTAAAGAGGCCAATTTGAAATTTTAGTCACCTTGTGAAAAAAAAGTCGAGATCATTTTTCTGCCACTTGCTCCCCACCCCAACCAGTGTCATGTTGAAAAATTAAAAATTAGAGTTACATTTTACAATTGCTAACTGCTGGTTTTGCTCTTGTAAACTTGCTCGCCCTAGCACTAACCCCCCTCCCTTCTGCACATGAAATAAGGAATTGAGTAAGAAGTCTCGGAGCCCAGATGCCAGCCCCTGGGACAAGGTTTGTGGTCATAGATAAAGACAGGTATGTTTTTCTGGTTCCTGTTTGAAAATTCCCTAAGTGGCCAAATGGGACCCAAGATAGGGACTCAAGATAGGGACCCAAGATAGGGACCCAAGATAAGGACCCAAGATAAGGACCACCTGGCAAGTCCAGCAAACTAGGCAAAATGTTAATCAATCACAAGCCTGTAATTCTGTAAACTCCCTGACCCTTATCTCCCAGAGTGACTATCTCCGTTTGAGCATCCGTGCCAATTGTTTTATTACAAAGAGTGTTATAAACTTCTCCCTGTAGTAAAAAATGATTGCTAGAGTGTATAGTGACCTCTAATTACCAGACGCCTTGTGTTTTGTGTAAATCTTGGGGTTCCTGCCTTTAAAAATGCCTGTAACCGCTGCTCGGGGCTTCCTGTCTGCCTAGGACAGAGAGCCCGTTTGGGCAAATGCCAAATAAACTCCTCTTGCTTATTGCATCTCCGGGCCTGGAGTCTGAGTTTTCTGGGGCGCCCTCCCGTTGACGAAAGTATCCCAGAAGTCTGGGATGACCTTCCAGAAGGTTTCAAGCAAGAAAATACTTCAGAGGACTGGGAAGGTGGCTCAGTCATAGATTGCTTGCCTTGCATGCATGAGGCCCTGAGTTTGATTCCTCAGCACCCCATAAGCAGAAAAAGCCAGAAGTGGCACTATGGTTCAAGCGATAGAGTGCTAGCCTTGAGCTGAAACACTGAGGGACAATGCTCAGGCCCCAAGACCAACAACACAACAACACAAAGAAAACACTTCAGAAATTTTATGTTTTGCTACTCTACCTATTCCTGTAGGACCAAAGTGCCAAATAACCTCTGAGAAAGGAAACCTCAAAATAATCGCCAAGCCACATCTCACCCCCTTAAATTTTCAAAGATTAACATAGATCAGGAACGGAGTACATGCACTGGTTAATTATAGTTAATCATTTCATTAAATATGAACCAAGGGGGCTGGGAAGGTGGCTCAGTGGTAGAGCGCTTGCCTTGCATGCCTGAGGCCCTGAGTTCGATTCCTCAGCACCACATAAGCAAAAAGAAAAAGCCGGAAGTGGCACTGTGGCTCAAGTGGTAGAGTGCTAGCTTTGAGCTGAAGAGCTGAGGGACAGCGCCCAGGCCCAGAGTTCAGGCCCACGACTGGACCCCCCCCCCAAAAAAAAAAAAGTGAACCAAATCCCAAAGACATATGTCTTCTCCTTTTAGCAATCATTGGGCTCCAAAGCAAAGCCTTCAGAAGCAAACCTCAAAAAGCAGTATCTCTCACTCCCTCTCCCCCCTCTGTCTCCCTGTTTCTGTTTCTGTTTCTGTTTCTGTCTCTGTCTGTCTGTCTGTCTGTCTGTCTCTCTCTCTCTCACACACACACACACACACACACACACACACACACCTCCTTTCCTCCTGTCTCTTATTTTCCTTTCATCTTTCCAAGGCAAACTAGGAAACTAGTTTCTCTTCCCCAAAGCAAGTCATGAAGCCCATCTTCCCTACTTTTCTGTCTTAGAGATGGACATAAAGAAATTGTTTAATCTGTTTGTCCAGTAATATATCATAAGGCTCTCATTTCAGAAGGGGTCTTGCCACATACACAGGAGGAAGGAATGCTGCAAAGAAAAATCTGAGGCCAAGAAAAATCTAAACAGACAAGCCTTTCTGTATTTCTCCACTCTGTTAGTATTAGCTCATACATTTTTTTGTACAATTATATTTTTACACAGCTATCCACATAGCATCAAATCTAAGTATAAAAACAGACTTGTATATGTCTTTGGGGCCTTCCATCAGAACACTCTTACATCACATAAAATTATACTCAAGTAAATTTGTTACATTTTTCTCAGTTTGTCTTTTGTGATAGGCAGGAAAGTGCTCACTGCTTCTTTCCCTTCCCCCACAGGGCCAACAATTTGCTTCTAGTGTTTCTTGGATCACTAAACCAACAACTACAAAAACAACCACAGTGATTGATTTTTTTTCACTAAAATAAACATGATCATGATGGTTAATCTTGATTTTTAAATTAGTTGGGTTGAGAAGTACCCAAGAGATTAGTAAGGTACACCTCTGGGTGTGTCTGTAATGGCTTTTCCAAAGAGGATTAACTAAACTGGAGGGAAAGATATGCTCTGAATGGGGGCAGTACCATTCTATAGGATGGGGAGCTAGATGGAATAAAGGGGAGAAAGGAATAAAGCCAGGGAGCCCAAGAATTCCTTCCGGTGCTGCCTGCTAGTTGCCGTGATATGAGCTGCTCTATGCTACCACACCCTCTTGTCAGTAATGGACTGAAACCAGGAGCCAAGATCAATCCCTTAAGTCATTCTCTCAGGTATTTTTCCCATAGTATTGAATAGCTGATGGACTCGATGACCCATAGCCTGCATAACTCACCATGAAAGCTAAAATAAGGAAAAACAGAATAGAGCTAAATGAAATATTTTCCTTGATCCCCATGAATATTCATTTTCATATTTATTTCATTTGGTGTAGCCATCCATCAATATCCACAGGACATATCTCCACCCACCCCAGTGGACATAAAAACCTGAGGATGTTCAATACCCTTATATAAAATTACATACAACCTACATACATTCTTCTGCACACCTTACATCATCTCCAGATTTTTACAATACCTAATACAATGTAAATGCTACATTATTGTTCTGTGTGATGTAGAAGAAAAAGAAAAAAGTTTGTATTGTGTTTTATTGAGCTCATTTTTTCCAAATATTTTTAATTCATAATTGGCTGAATCTATGGATATGGAACCCATCATTGTGAGGGGTAACTGTACTTGTAACTGTACTTGACAGATAGTTCGAAGATCTTTTGAGTTTCTACCAAAGATCAAACCAAAAGATGTGAACCTTTGGAATCGACCTGGGTGTGGCTGCTTAACAGTTTACAAATATTTTTGTGTTCATTATTTCCTTTCATCAGTACAATAAGCAACAGTTGAACAGGTATTATTATAAGTGAAGATATTGAGTCTCAGTGAAGCAATGTAAGTTGGTAAGGTAAGGATGATTAAAACCAAACTCTCACTCTTCATACTACTCTGTTTCCTCAAGTAAATAAATACAGAGATAATAAAATACATGAAATGTTAATAGAGAATTGTTCAAATACAAAAATTATGGGAATATTAATAGAGGGTCACTAAAACACATTAAAATGAAGTTTCAAGTAGATGTATATGCAAACACATATATGTAGAGTTTATAGCACTGTTTGTAATTCTTAAGTTAAAAGCTGTAGTATTTTCTTCGATTCTTTTAATAAGCCTGCTGATGTTGGTAGACTGAAAAAAAATAAGAAACATCTGAACTAATATGTGTTTATGTTGATTCATTTGTGGTGGTGGTGTTAACACTGGAGCTGCTTCTCACAAAATAATTACTGTTTACTGATGGCAAAGCCCTGTGGATATGACCAAAGTGCCAGTGACATAAAGAAAAGCCTGTTTAAATGATCTGAAAGCAGGGCCACAGCTGTAACTTTGCCCTGGCAGAGTCCATCAAGTAAATAGCTTGATCTTTTCAAACACAGCCATATTATTTTCTTCCTGGCATTTATAATTTGTTAAAACTCTCAGTGTGTATGCCTTTCCTGCTTAATAACAATGGCGTTTAGCCAATCTTTGTACTTATCTCTTACACACACATTACTTCTATGTATTATTTAATCTAGTTTATATTAGAAAGAAATTCATACACACCTAACTGCAAATTTAAAACATATTCTGTTACTGTCATGAAATAACTTATAAGTCTGTGATGTAACATTTAAAACTGCTAAACATAGCCATTTTACTAAGATATGATATAAATGGAGCCCAACATCAACTTCTGGCTTTGCTTAGCAGAACAAAGAAAACCAAAACCCATTGCTTAGAAAGTGCTGATATTTGATTTGGTAAGACATACCACATTTGGTATTTACATGCTTACTCTTATTGCCAGAGCCCCCGGAGCATCTG